AAAGAGGCCCTTCCCACTCAGACCAGCCCTGCCTGGTACCAGGAGCGCCCCTCAACCATCTCAATGGCCAGGGGCAGGTGCGCAAACCCAGGCCCGTCTTTGGCCCTGAGCCCTGAGCACAGCCCGGCGTGCAGAGCAGATCCTTCCCCGGCCATGGGTAGAGGGGAGCTGGTCCCTGCTTGGGGGGAGGGGTGTCACTTGTAGGGGAGGTTTCCTGCCTGCCCGCCAAAGTCCAGTGGGGAATTTCCCAGCTGCCCGGCCTCCCGTGGCCCCAGTTGTCCAGCTGAGAACGGGAAAGGTGGGGCACACGGACGGTTGGGAGAGGCCCTGCTCCAGCACCCGGGTTCCAGCTGTGCCCTCCGAGGCCGCCCAGCTCCCTTCCACATCGAGTGCCCTCCCACCCCACCCACCATTGCCACAATGGCTCGCTCGGCCTGAGGTGCCCACGGACACCTGAATAGCTGGGGGTCAGACCTGAGGGCTGGGACCCCGGGAACCTGCCAGAACACCCCCTGTTATCACCCCATCTCCCACATCCCTCCCCGTACCCCTCCCCACCCTGCTGCCAGCCGGAGCACCCCTGGGAAGTGGGCCTATTTGTCCATCTCCCGGCCAGGGGCTCACAGCCTCACTGGCAGCTCTCTTAGGGGAGAGGCCTGAGTCACGTCCCACCACCCCCTACCATGGCCAACCTTGGGCCTCAGGGACCCACACAACGGGCTGTTCTCAGGCCACTCAGCCTGCCTTGCCCACCACAGTCCCTTCCGGCTGGGCCTCGCCGCCCCACACCCCCCACTGCTCAAGGCTCCAGTTTGGCTGGTCCTTGCCTTGGCCTGGGGCCCCTCCCGGCTCCCACGCTGTGTCACACACATCTGGGGGTGTCCTGTGGGAGGGCCAGTATCCTGTGGCCCACAGACCAACCAGGTCCCCTCTGTCCAGCCACACACAAGCGCGCCCTGTGGACCCACGGTCCCGCCGGGCGCCCGTCCTCCACCGCGCACCCTCCCCAGGGTCTCCAGCAGGGTCCAACCCTGGCTTCTGGCTGCTTTGAGGCTACACTCTGATGCCCAGGGTGATGCCCAGAGAACAGCTTCCCCACCCCCAGCAGGTTCTCCAGGCCCCCTCACACAGTGGCCCCCGCCCCCCTCAGCCTCCTGTTTGTCCGACGACACGTCCCTGTTATCAGCGGAGAACACACACAGGAAGTCCGGCTGGAAAGGGCCCATCCCAATCCCGATTACCCAGGACGGGGCATAAAAAGCCGCCCTTCCTCACCGGGGGGGAGCCTCCCTGCACCAAGCCGGCCACCCCGCACGGCTTCGAGGGAGGCTCCTGGGGACAGGCCAGGCGGGCCGGCCTCGGGAGGTGCCTCCGGGCAAGGGCCAGGGTGCATCCTCCATCCCGGGACAAAGCAGCGGCAGCCATGGCCACACCTGGGCTCCCGCAGCATCAGGTACGGAGGCCTTGGAGGGGCAGGGAGCAGATGGGGCGCCCCCACACGCGCTCACTCCCTCAGACCTCGGCGCCTGCTGGGTGCTCTGCAGCCTGCTCCCTGGCATGGTTGCAGAGGAGGGGTCCCAGTCCACTTCCCTTCTGCACAGAGGAGGCCACCGAGGCCCCATGGCCCAGCACCTGCCGGTGGGTGGCCCAGCATGGGTCCCGGTCCATCCTGCTGACTCCAGTACTTCCCCCGAAGCTGCCCTTCCCCTGAGCCCACCTTCTGGCCTTCCTCTGCCTCTGCAGAGCAACCCCTGGGGTTGGCAGCAAAGTTCAGCTCTGCCAGGCCCGCCTCCAGGGCCTTGGTGCTGTGCCCTGGGGTATCCCAAGGGCTGGGGTCTCCTCAGCTTCTCCCTAGCAGTGGATGAGCACCCCAGTGGGGATCTGGGGAGGGCAACTGGCCCCGAGGGAGATGAACCCCAAAGCCAGATCTAGCCAGGATGAGCGGTGTGAATCCGGGGTGCGGCGCGTGGGGCTCAGGCTTCTGGATGACTTGGTGGGGTGTGGTGGGCAAATGGGTGGCCCTGTGGCCCCCCTTAGACCTTGGAGAAGCCCTTGTTCCCCCATGCCTCAGCCCCGGGCAGTAGCTGAAGCCCCGTCCCAAAACCCCACAGCCACAGTGGGTTCTAGAAGGCCCCACTTTTTGTCTTAAACGTCCACACCAAGAAGCCTGTCCAAGAGCCCCCACTTTCCAGACGGTGGGGCCTAGCCAGAACGGGGGCAGAGAGGCCTGGCTCGGGGCAGCCCAGGAGCCGCCCTTTCTGCTTCGTTGCCTCTGCTGGACTCAGGCAGGAGAGGTGGGCAGGCAGGTCAAAGGGTCAAATGACCGCAGCTCCAGAGATGAGGCCAGGGCAAGGGACAGGGCAGGGCGGCTCTCCCACCCAGAGGTCCCCTAGGCCTCACTCTGAACACTTCAGTGCCCAGGGCTAGGTAAGCACTGCCCTGCATCGGCTCAGGGCACTAGGAGGCCTAGGACTCCCCACTTCGATGAGGAACACCCGACAGCAGCTGCTCTGGCCATCCCTTGGGCCAGGTGCCAGGGGCTTCCAGGCCTCCTGGTCCAGAGCAGTGGCCACTGGATTACACGGTGGGGCGGCCTCATTTTGGGGGCTCCTCTCTGGGCACCTGGGTTCCTCCTTTCCTCCAGCTCCCATGTGCCAAGGTAGCCCCAAGCTGGTGGCCCTCCCCCATCCATCTGCAAGCCCCTCGCCCAGCGCCCTGGGCTTTGTGGAGGGACCTCCAGCTCCACTCACAGCTGCCTTCCATCCCCACGCCAGGGAGCCCAAGGCTGGAGAAAACAGCCCCATTTTACTGAGGCCAGGGGCTGTGGACCTGCGAGGACAACCAGCCAGGACAGAATGGGCTGGGGTGGGTGCAGAATGGGGGTCTGCAGGCCCAGCTCAGAAGGACGGCCCACAGCAGCACCCAAGGCTGGACCTGGGCCCCTTCCCAGCCCCCAGACTTCAGGGTGACCAGGACTGTGGGTGGACACTACCCACGCCTCCTCTCCAACCTGCAGCCCCCAGGGCCCGGGAGGCACAGGTGGCCCTGCCCCGAGGAGCAGCTGCAGCCCCAGTCCCAGGGATGACGGATTCTCCTCCGCCAGGTGAGTCCCAGCCGACCCTCACTCTGAGGTAACACGTCTCACACAGGCACCCACTCTGGCTCCGAGACAGGGTGCTGGCTCCCGCCGGGTCTGAGGGGCTGCTGAACTGGGCTGGCCTGGGCCTCACGTGCTGGGCGGCAGTCCCAGTAGCAAGGATTGCGGTGGGGCGGTGACCTCAACATCACGTGCCCCAGGGCTGTTTATCCCCGTCTTACACATTTGGAAATGGAGCCTGGAGAGGAGAGGTGACCCACCCAGGAGCCTCTGGAGGGACTGTGGGTGTGAGGAGACTCCTGGGGCCTGTGGATTCCCTGGGAGGAGCGTTCCGCCCTGGCCCTGACTGTCCTGAACACAGCAGGGACCCGGTGTCCCCGGTGAGGGTGCCTGATGCCTCAGACAGGGCCAGGTGGGGGCTGGCGCAGGGGCCCCCAACCTAACACTCGAAGGCCGGGAGGGAGGCCTGTGTCCCCCCCCCCCGGTCCCATCTGGGCTCTGCCGTGTGGTCTCGGAGGCGTCCTGGGCCTCTGGGCCTGGCGAGGGGACGGCGGTGACGCCCACCGCCCGCGAGGCTGCAGGACCGAGCTCGGTGCTGCCCAGCGCCGGGTGCCCACCAGCGGCTGAGACGCGCGTCCTGGGTGGTTTTCGTCCTGGGGGTTTGAGAGCCAGCGAAGGGCCCCGTCAGTGCCAGCGCCCTGGGCGGCGACCCGTCCTCAGCGGCCGCGCAGCGAGCGCTCTGCCCGGGGACGCGGGATTCCGGAGGGGGCTGGGGGCCGCGGTCCGAGGTCCCTGTCCGCCCGGGGGCGGCCCGTCCGCCGCCGGGCCTCAGTTTCCCCGTCTGCACCGTGGGGGCGGGGCGGGGGCGGGGCCAGGCCGCCAGGTGGGGCGGGGCCGGGGCGGGGCGGGGCTCGGGGCCCCCACGGCGCGGGCTCGGGCGGCAGCGGCGGCGGCGCGTGCGCGCCCCGGATCCGGCGGTGAGTGCGGAGCGAGCGGGGCGCGGGGTCTGGGTCTGTCCGCCGCCGGGGCCGGGGCGAGGCTGGGACCCGCGGAAGCCCCGGGGGCGGGGGACCTGGCGGCGCGCAGGGGGCAGCTGGGGGCGGCCCGGGGGCCGGGGGGGAGCGGGCCGGGGCCCCCGCGGCTGGGTCGGGCCGCGCCGGGAGAATGGGCCCAGCGGCCCCGGGAGCGGCTCCCCCTGGCGTCCAAGGACTGCGCGCCGGGAACGCGGGGTCGCCGCGGACCCTCTAACCCCCGGCCCGACCCCGCCGCGCGCCCAGCCCAGCCCCTGCCCGCGCCGCCCGCCCCCGGCCCGTCTGGCGCCGCCTCTGCGCCCTCCCCCGCGGGCCCCCATCCCGGCTCCTGCTGCGAGGGGTCCCCCAGTGCCTGCGGCGCGGGCAGGCCCCTCCCTCTGCGGACCGGCTTCCAGCGGTGGGGGCTGCGGCTGGGCAGGTGCGGGGGGCGGCGGGCAGGGTCCGCAGGCGCTGGGGGGACGGGACCGGACCGCTCGCCCACCTGGAGCCGCCGCCCCCTCCCCGCCCGGCAACCCCAGGTCGGGGCCGTGGCCCCCCCGGGGATGTGGGGCTTGCAGCGCCAGCTGCGGGCTTCCTCTGGCCTCGGGAAAAGCATGACTTTCAAAAATTGAGTCCGCACTTCTCAGCACTGCTTCCTCTCCAGACGACACTCAGGAATTGCGGGGGGTGCAGCGCGAACATTCGTGTGCGGCCATGAGGTCTGCGAGATTCGCCTCCCGCCAGGCCCGGCCTCCCCCTGCCCACCCCAAGCCACCCAGCCGCTGCCGCCTCTTCCCTCCCGGGTCCTACCCCCCAGTGTCGCCTGTCCTCCCACTTCGTCTTGCCTGGGGGAGGCACCAGGCCCAGCCTCTGACAGTGTCCTTCCCCCAGGGCCATCCCCAGAGTTAATCTCCAGCTAGCTCTGACCCCCGGACAAACTCCTGCCCAAAAACTGCTGTGATACCCCCGAACCTCCAGGCTGAGTCCCACCCCCAGCTGCCCAGGGCAGCCTCTGCCCTGCCCTCCTCTCCCCAGCGCACAGAGGACAGGAGACCCGGGAAGGAACCTCCCACTCCCAGGCCACCCTCCCCACTCCCAGGGACCGGGTGATGCGGCGGCAGAGCCCGTGAGAGGCCGGTGTGAGGTCGAGCTCCACACCGTGGGGCTGGGCCAGCGGCGAAGGCTCCGTGACCTCGGACAGTGTGACTGTTCATAGGACAGGCTGTCAGAGCCTGGCGGGGCCTCGGAGACCCTATTCTGGTGGTGGCTGAGAAAACTGAGTCCCAGAGAAAGGACAGCCTTACCCCAGCCTCCAGCCCCGCCTGAATACTGGCCTTTCCCTGCGGGGGCCCTGCAGCACCTGGGAAGGACCCCACCCAGCCCTTGGGAAGCACCCTTGAGAGGCCCTGGGTGGGACCCCAGAGCCTGGCTGCACACGGGACAGCCTCCCCTGCCCCCGCACTGCCACAGACCATTAACTCTGGGAGCGCTCATCCTCCCAGGAAGGCCCCCCGCCCCACCCAGGCCCCCAGCTCCTGCCACATAGCCAGGAGGGGGTTGGGTTCTGGCTCCCGTGACACTAGGGGGCTGCCCCCCACCCCCAGGGTGCGCCCGGCACGGCTACTGTCCTGAAAGCCCTGGAGGCTGACTGCACACGTCCCAGCATGCAAGGGACCCCTCTGAAATGAAGGCTGCCCATCTTGTGGTCTTAGAATCTGTGCGCCCCCAAACGGCTCCTGCTGGCTTGCGGCTGCTCATCTGCCCCCCCGGGCCGGCTCCACACTCAGATGAGGAGAAACCAAAGCCCAGAAGGGCTGAGGCCAGCAAGTCCCTGGTGGGGCTGGATCCCAGCTCTGCCCATGGACACCCCGTTTGCACAGGCTGGGGTGCAGGCTCGCCCCTGCCCTGCTGTGAGGAGGGCCCTGGAACCAGGCAGGACGGGAGAAAGTGGCCCATTGCTGAGCCATCCTTCATGGAGCCGGGGTGCCCCAGACCCCCAGCAGGATCCATGAGATTCCTGCAGCAAGAGCTCTGGGCGGCATCACCCCTGTGGCTGCCCAGCTCTGGCCCCAGCTGTTGGTGGCTGGTGAGGGTCTGGCTAGCTGGAGGAGGGGGCCAGGGGAGGAGAGGGTGGGCGCCGCCGGTGGAGGCTCCGGTGGAGGTGAGCTGGGCAGGCCTCATGGAGCAAGCACGGACTGCACCCGTGGCCTGGGGGCGGGGCATCTTCTGGGAGCCTGAAGGGCCATGCTCTGTGCCCCAGGCCACCCAGAGGAGAAGGCCCCCCACCCGGAGGCACGGGCCATGTGGGGCTCTCAGGAGGTTCTGCTGGTGTGCTTTCTGGTGCTGGCAGCGGGTGGCACGGAGCATGCCTACCGGCCAGGGTGAGCCAAGCACTGGCCCCTGAGGGCTGGGTTGGGGAGACTGGGGCCCTCAGCCCTTCCCTGACGGCTTCCTCCTCGGCACCTGTAGGAGACTCGAAGGGGCTCCTGCTGAGGGTCCTGCCCTGGCCGCATGTCCCGTCATCCTTGGGTCCTGGGGCTGAGGGTCCTGCTCCGAGCCTCCCTGGCTGACCCCGTCATCCCCACAGCCGCAGGGTGTGTGCAGTCAGGGCTCACGGGGGCCCCATCTCTGAGTCCTTTGTGCAGCGCGTGTACCAGCCCTTCCTCACCACCTGTGATGGTCACCGGGCCTGCAGCACCTACCGGTGAGTGCCCACTGAGCCGAGCCTACCCAGCCCTGGCCCCCCAAGGCCGATCCCCAAGACGCCCCTGGCTGCCACACATCAGCCTGTCAGGGGTGGGGGATGAATCCTGGGGCCCCGGATGGAAAACTGAGGCCAGAGCCATGAGAGGACCAGCTGAGATGAGTGACCCAGGGCAGTCTGAGCCCAGGGGGATCCTCGACCACCTGCAACATGCCAATCCTTGTTCTCACCCCGACGCGTCCGAAAGACATCACCTCTGAGGCCATCGCCATGTTTAGAGGGGTCGCCCATCCAGTCTGCACCCCCCACTTCTGGGACACTAGCCCCTCCCTGCCCTGGCATCCCCGGCTGCAATCTACAGGGGATGATGCCCCACGCCCCTGGTCCCAGTTCACGGCGCTCCCCTGGGCATCCCCCTCCGAGTGACGGCCCCTAACAGGCACAGATGAGACCCTTCGATGCCCTGTGTGCCCACAGAGGAGCCCACGCCCCTAGTTCTCAGCTTCAGCCGGGACCTCCTTCCTGGGTGTGGGAGCTTCACTCCCTACTGGGGGAGGGCCTGGGATTTAGACTCTTGGAGGTGTAAGGAATGCGCAGGTGCCCCTGGCCCACACTCTGCGGGGACCCACTGCAGGCCGGGCACACCTCGACTCTGGGCCTGGATGCCCCCACGGAGGAGGCTGGAGATATGAGGGCACACACAGGCCTGGGCACTGCCTCTGCCCCACACGGAGCACGGCTGGGCATCCAGCAGCGGCTTGAGTCCCGGTCAGCGCCAGAAGGTCCAGGCAGGGAAGCGGCTTGTGCAATGATCCCTCAGTGCCATCCCTTGAGGAGATCCCCACGCTGGGGTGACCATGTCCATTCTGAGAGGGGACTGTGGATGCCCAGCGGGCGGCTGAGGGGGAGCGGGATGCCCCTCTGAGCTGCCCCGCCCACCCCACAGAACCATCTATAGGACCGCCTACCGCCGCAGCCCTGGGCTGGCCCCCGCCAGGCCTCAATACGCATGCTGCCCTGGCTGGAAGAGGACCAGCGGGCTCCCCGGGGCCTGCGGAGCAGGTGAGGGTCACCCCTCAGCGACCAGTGTTAGCCAGGAGGGTGACCCTTCCCCATACTTCCGGCAACACCCCTGCAGCTTTTCTTGACCCCTGAGCAAAGCACTTCCCTGCTGCAGAGCACCCTCCTGCCCAGCGGCTGCCCCCACAGGGTGCTGGGGACCCAACTGAACTGGTGACCCGCCTTCCTCACCCACAGCAATATGCCAGCCGCCATGCCGGAATGGAGGGAGCTGCGTCCAGCCTGGCCACTGCCGCTGCCCAGCAGGGTGGCAGGGTGACACCTGCCAGTCAGGTGAGGCTGGCTCCGCCCTGGGGGTCCCTGGAAGAGTCCTTGGGGCACCTCCTTGCATGTCCTGGGGTGACTGCCAGCCCATGAGTGGGTGTGTGTTAAGGGAGCTGAGTGGGTGGGACCTCTCCTGCAGGCATGGCCGCCTGACACCCCATTTCCTGCAGATGTGGACGAATGCCGTGCTGGCAGGGGCCGCTGTCCCCAGCGCTGCGTCAACACTGCCGGCAGTTACTGGTGCCAGTGTTGGGAGGGGCACAGCCTGTCTGCAGATGGCACATTCTGCGTGCCCAAGGGAGGGCCCCCCAGGTTGGCCCCCAACCCGACAGGTAAACTCAGCCCTGGCTGTGCCCGGCCTGGGGAGGTGGGCAGGCAGTGGAGATTGCCCTGTGGCTCTGCTAGGCATGGTGGGGGACACTGGAATCTGGGTGGGAAGCGGTGGGGGCTCCTTCTCCGGCGGGGAGGACAGGGAGGGAGGACTGCTGGGTTCCCAAGAATTGGGGGCAGGCTGCCTGGGCCTCATCTCAGCCAAGGCGCCGGAGGTGCCCAGTCCCGGGGTCCTGCCTGCGTCCCACTGAAGTGTTCTGGAAGACACCTGGCCTCTGCTGGTGACGGGACATTATTACTTTTGGTACGCGCTGTGACACTTCAAACTCGTACCGTGAGTAATAATGCGCCGTCCACAGCACCGCATCGAAGCACGGAGGAGACCTCAGCTCCGACCTCCCTCCACGTGGCGGGGACCCGGGCACCCAGGGACAGCGGGCAGCAGCATCCGCCCAGAGCTGCACGCCCCGATGTGCTTAGGCAGCATGGCCTTGAGACCTCTGGCCAGCGCCAGGCAGGCGGCGGGTTGGACAGAGGCCTGGGCCTCAGTCTTCTGTCTCTGCCTCTCCCTGGGACAGGAGGGAGCCTGGGGGGCGGGTAGGGAGACAGCCATCCCTGACCCAGCGCCTGGCTCTGCTCCCAGGAGTGGACAGTACGATGAAGGAGGAGGTGCAGAGGCTGCAATCCAGGGTGGACCTGCTGGAGGAGGTGAGGCCTGGGGTGGGGCAGGTCCTCGCCACAGCAGAGAGGGGCCCAGGCCGGGGGTACGGGCTTTGTAGCCTCCTGGGACCTTGACCCACGGATGGCTGGGGGTGGTCCGAAGAGGTCCTGGCCCC